CCTATAGGATGATTTAAAAAAACAATAAATAACATCAAACAGCCATCTTCCAACCTATTCTGCTGCTATAAGTTACTTTCCCTTCTCTCCTTTCCTCCTGCTTCGCAGCAGGAGATTTCATGCCCCCCCCGCGCGCGGGTGCGGTGCGAGTTGTAAGGATTTTCTGCAAAACTTATGGATTTTTAGGGCTCTTTATACAGGTAAACTACTTTTATTCCTGATTTAAACTAGCGATCATGAGCAGCTGTATGCTTTTATTTTTTTCTGTCAGGCTGTTGGAGCGCTCCTCCTCCTCTGTCCGAGGCTGGTGTGGGATGAAAATTCTCCACCTCAGACATTCAGAGATGTAACTGTCTGCGATACTGTGGTCACTTTCCATGTAGCATCAATCATGCTAATGCTAGCTGTCACGTTCTCTTGTCATGGCCACACCTCCGCTCTCTAACCCCCCTTCCCCTACCCACACCCCCTACCCTACCCACTTTGATGCATTTTTCAAATTTCGCCTTGGGGCGGAGTTATCTTTTCACAGGGGGGTAAGATACACTTTAATGTAATAGATATCTGCATCCATTGGGTGTTGTGTTTGGAATCATCAGCTTCGTTTTAAGGTGGTAAAACAAATTACTTGTATTTATTCCTTTCTACACACTTTGCAGATTGTTTTTTCTGCACTCCACCTGTTTAATCTGTGCTCGCTCCGACGGGGTGACAATTATAGTCGCGCTTTGGAGTGCGCGCGCATTCGGCCGTGCGTCGTCGCGCTATGACAGCAGGAGAAACGAGGTCCAGACTGATTTTTGTGCGTCCCACCTGAGCACCGACTTCACCTGAGCACTGACTTCACCTGCTCTGACAGTCGCCTCGCTGCGTGGAAATGAATGGAGAGCGAGCGACGCCGCCTCCCGTGTGTCGAGCCCTTCACACATGTCGCGGCGTGCGCTCCTCCCGCAGCAGGCCGTGTGGTCGGTCGGCATACCGGAGGATGCACCGTCACGTAAATATGTAAACAGTTCGGTGTTCATTTTCACACAGCTGAACCAGGTCCGGATAACTTTTTCCCCCTCTTCATTTTCGCGCTCAGCCACGCTTCCTCTGTTTTGACTGCAGCTGGTTAAGTCATCAAAAACAATTGTGTGGTTGGTCGGTAGACTACAGATCTCTATCATAGGACACATTTATATCGTTTCTACCGTATATCATTTATATTGCACATTCCTAACGTCAGGAAAACAAGACTGGAAAAGATGAGGGAAGAAATAAAACGTTTGTGAGCACAAATGATTTCTGTTCTGTTTGTCCAGCAGGGGGCAGGCTGAATCATCAAGACCAGGTTATGGTCTGGATTTTAGACTCAGATTAGATTAAAATAAGTTTTCTTTGTTTTAGGTTGCTGGTTCAGGTCTCTGGTCTTAGTTCAAGCCTCTGGTCTTAGTTCAGGTATATTTGCTGGGTTCAGGCCTCTGGTCCTAGCTCAGGTCCCTGGTCTTAGTTCAGGTTTCTGGTCTTAGTTCAGGTATATTTGTTGGGTTCAGGCATCTGGTCCTGGCTCAGGTCCCTGGTCTAAGTTCAGGTTTCTGGTCTTNGGTTCAGGCATCTGGTCCTGGCTCAGGTCCCTGGTCTAAGTTCAGGTTTCTGGTCTTAGTTCAGGTATATTTGTTGGGTTCAGGCATCTGGTCCTAGCTCAGGCCACTGGTCTTAGTTCAGGTCTCTGGTCCTAGTTCAGGTCTCTGGTCCTAGTTCAGGTATACGTATTTGTTGGGTTCAGGTTTCTGGTATTAGTTTAGATATTTTTGTTTAGTTCAGGCCTCTGGTCCTGGATCGGGTATCTGGTCCTGGTTCGGGTCTCTGATCTTGGTTTGGGTCTCTGGTCTAGGTCCTGGTTCTAGCCTTGGTTCAGGTCAATGGTCCTGGTTCTAGTCTCTGGTCCTAGTTCAGGTCTATAGTCTTGGTTCAGGTCTCTGATCTTGGCTCTAGTCTCTGGTCCCAGTCCAGGTCTATAGTCTTGGTTCAGGTCTCTGGTCTTGGTTCTCATCCTGGTTTAAATCTCTGGTCTTGGACCTGGTTCTGGGCTTGGTTCACATCTCTGGTCCTAGTTCAGGTCTATGGTCTTAGTTCAGGTCTCTGGTCTTGGATCTAGTCTCTGGTCCTAGTTCAGGTCTATAGTCTTGGTTCAGGTCTCTGGTCTTGGTTCAAGTCTCTGGTCCTAGTTAAGGTCTATAGTCTTGGTTCAGGTCTCTGGTCTTGGTTCTCATCCTGGTTTAGGTCTCTGGTCTTGGTCCTGGTTCAGGTCTATAGTCATGGTTCCAGTCCTGGTTCATGTCTATAGTCCTGGTTCTGGTCTCTAGTCTTGGTTTTGGTCTCTGTGGTTCTGACTCTTATATAACCAGATAATCCGTATTAAGCTGTTAATTATAGCTCCTGACGACAAACTGCTGCTGGGTTACAGCGACTGTCCTCTGTCCTCTGTCCCACCTTCTGTCTTTGTCAGGTGTGCTCTTCGTGTCCTGACCCAGAACCTGGGTCCACAGTCCTCAGCACCTGTTGCATAGTTCTGAGGGTACGGCGGCATCCTCTGACTCACCTCTACGATCATCCGCAGGTCTCTGACGTACATCCTCTCGGACTCGATGATCTCCATGATGACGCGGTCCAGGTAGGTCAGCTGGGGGTTGGGCGCCATGGTGGCGCTGATGAAGGGCTGCCGGCGACTGGAGGCCCGGTTTGGTGTGCCCCCTTTATTTAGGCCGTTCTTACTGTGAACGAAGCTACAACTCTTCGTCGAGGGCTGGGGGCTCGGCCCCTCGGGGTCAGCGGCGTCCTCTGCGGGGCTCAGGTTCTGGTTCGGGTCGACGTCGGAGGACCCAGCGGGGAGTTGAGGCGGCGCGGGGTAGTCGTCCCTGGAGGATCCGTAACCCGAGGACTGTGTGGAGATCAGGCTCACGGGGCGCCGGCCCGACGGCGGCGGGTCCGAGGCATCGGCGGATGGAGCGCGCTCATCGCTGCTGATGGAGGCGTTGGACAAACGAGGCGACTCTGATTGGAGGACAGAGAGATGATGTCATTAAACTAAACCCTCCACATTCAAGTCAACGAGCGATTCAGCTTCAAACAATCACTGCAACTCAATCAGTTTGATCAATAAAAATTAATGCCTCCTTGCATTCTGATTGGCTCGCTGGCATCGAACTAACTCTGATTAGATTCAGATTCACGTTCATGCGTTCACACGGCGACACCCCCAATCAAAGAGGGGGTTCAGGTCAGTAAACATACCCCAGTCCTCTGAGGCTTTAGACAAATATCTGAGCAGCAGAGACACTGAAAGTCCACCTGAGACACAAAATACACACAGTGACGGTTATGGAACAGATTTCATAACAGCAGCTGAAATATGATGAAATATATCATCACTTTTAAACATAAAATGAGCCGAAGTTCAGCTGCTTTGATGCTAAATGTTTTATTAATCTAAAAATGATTTACAGCCATTACCAGATTAAAATATTCTGTTTAACAAAAACATTTAATGAAAACCGAAGGTGCTAAAGTTCAGGTTTGGATCTTAAACACAGTGAGGAGTTTATGAGAACGAAGATTAAACTACAGAATTTGTACTTCCTGTGAAAATGTAGTGTGATCGCTAGGGTTGGGCATAATCGTATCGTCTGCAATTAATCGTCAGAAAAACATTAATCGATTAGTTTTTAGCACTTGACGATTAATATGATTAATGTCACCAGGCAGACTGACTGGATAGTTCCCCGGTCAGTCCGCTCGGTGCTCCTCTCCGCTTCAAATATGACGAACATTTAAACAAAAGTTCTGTAATTTATTTATCAACACAATTTACAATTTGATGTATAGCCTGAAGTCTGTAGTTTTGACACAGTTTGAAAAAGATTTTTACTAAGAGCAAATCTTTCCCACTAAATTGGTCGTGTGACTTGGACATTTGGGTGTCCACGGGATTAACTGTCATATTAATCGTTATCGGCTAAACACCACAATTAATCGTGATTAATTTTTTTGCCAATATCGCCCAACTCTAGTGATCACTTAATGCTGAAAGATTTTTGCTGAATTGCTAAAAAAAGCTAAAACTAGCCTACAAATAGCTTTAAAACATATCTGCAATAGCTGAAATTAGTGCAAAGAAACACAAAAAAAAGCCACATTACAAAATAATAACAAAGAGGTGAATTTAGCTCAGATTAGCTTAAAAGTAGCTAAAAACACAAAAATAGCTAGAATTAGCAGAAAGTATTTGGAAGTAGGACAAAAGCTTAAAACTGCAGAAACAAAAAAGTTTAAATTTACAGATGAAAAGGTCAAAAATGATAGCTAAAAAAGCAGAAAAACAAAGCTAAAATCAGCTAAATCGAGGCCAAAGGAAGCTGAAATAAGCACTAAGGAGTTAAAAAGGCAGAACTAGAACATAAAGGCAAAATGTTCAGTAAAGATTTATAAATATTTCAAAGGTTTGTCAGGATGTTAAAAACAGCTTTAGTCATGTTCAAAAAGCTAAATATCTCAAAAAGGATTTACTGCTGAAATACCAAAAGTCATAGCTGGAATGTTCTGAAGGAGCTGAACGTTTATGGTGGAAATTTATGAAAAAACACAAAAATTGCGGAACAATACATGTGCCGAAAAATGTACGGAAAAAAAAATCTAAATTGTGAGAATGATATATAAACATTCACACAATAAAGTAAAGGTGTTTAACTCCAGCTGCACACCTGTCAGCTGCACACCTGTCAGCTGCACACCTGTCAGGACGTCTGGACACGGAGGACAGGAAGGACTCAGGAACAGCATGAAGCAGAGAGGAGGAAGATGGGCATCACTGACCTCCGTGCTCTGAGTTATCTTCAGTTTGTTAATCAGGAGCAGAGGATTGTGGGTAACGTAGTGTTTAGAAAGGTCCAACAACAACAGTAAACGGTGAGAATTAAACTCTATAAGACGGCTGCAGCTCTCTTCTGTCATCGCAGACAGGTGTGTGGTACCGGAGCAGGTCACATGGTCTCAGGTGAGTCCACACCTTGTTTACTCAAAGCAAACAATCCTGTCTAAACTTTCCTCTCAGCTCACCTGTCCAGGTGAGAGTATATATTGTCATTTTGCCTGCAGGTCAGCACAACAAAAACAAGCAATAAACAATAAAACTATACAAACTATTCTTTAGAAATTCTCAACAACACGACAAATCAGGTGGTCAGAATCAGAACCACGATCCCCCAGAACCAGAACCAGAACCCAGAGTTTCTGTTCAACAACAAAGAGAAAAAGGTTGAATAAAAACAAACAGCTCGTATGTCAGTAGTTTGTCGCTCTGCAAACACAACAAACTCAAACACAGCAGAATTCAACCCTTCCATTCTGCTGTTGCTGAGCCAAACACCATTTTTATCATTTACACCATTTTTATCATTTACACCATTTTTATCATACCAGTGGTTCCCAAAGTTGGGGTCAGAACGGGGTCCTGAAACATCAAGGTGGGGTCCTGAAATTTTTTTTTTGAATTAATTACACTAAAAACTGACAATCAACAACATTTTTTTTGCCTTTGTTGATACACAATAATAAGATTAGTGTACTTAAAATGGACAAAAATAGCCTAATAAATATTGTTACTATGCTCTTGTTTATTTGACGTGAAAACACTGTTTATCATCTGGTAATCACTGGGGACACGGGTCTCTGCTGCTGGTATTTTGTGGGTCAAAAGCTGAAAAGTTTGGGAACCACTGATTTACACCATTCTGTTATTCTCATAAATCATTCCTGACTTCAAAGTTTTAAACTATTATTAATAATAGTAATAAAACTGCTTTAAAATTTCGAAGTTGTTCTCTGTGTTGAAAAGATTTTTTGCACATTAATGTTAAATTGTACAAAAAGATTTTATGGATATAAATGCAGAGTTTAGTTTAGGTGTACGTGTTTCTAGCCTGGCCCTTACCTTCCTATGCAGTTCCGCTCAATAGCCTATATGCCACGGTCATTAATGACGTATTTCCGGTAAAATGGTGGCCACGAAAAAGTCACAAAAGTTAAAGCATCTGTGATTTACTGATTTAAAACGTGAGTTCTGTTGTGTGTCGTTGTGTCCACTAATCAGCAGTATGATAGAGTTGTTAGTTTTTATCCATTTTCCTCTTGATGAGGAGGTGACAGCTGTGGATCATAGCATTACAGGTAACACTTATCTTTAAAAGCTCACGCCTGCGTTTGTAATCGGCATTTCTAACCTGAGGATATTCAAGAGCCAGCATCAGAAATGAGAAGACGGAGTTTACAAAAGGGAAATGTACATTTATCCCCTTTTACTGCCAAGACAAGAGGAAAGACCTCCTCACAGCTAGCAGGAAGCTAACACAGCAGCCGGTACAAAGGTGGTGTATGTGTGCACGTGTTTGTTTTATACAGAGTATGAAATGTTTTTAGGCCACTTTGTCATGAGTTTTATGCAAAAGTAAAAACTTGTTAGTGTATATTACAGCGTAGACAAAACCCGAGTGACGAGCGCGCCCCCTCCTCCTCCCGAGCACTGAGAGTAGCAGAACCTCTGCCTGATAATCATTACGTTTTCAGTTCACTAACATCGGGGAAAACGATCCAAACAATACAAGTAGCCCATCAATTTAAAGCCCAGACTCTGCCCTTTCCAACAATATAAGTGTCACAGCGCTACGTGAAAAATTCACAGAACAAGCAGCCACAGAATAGTGAAAAAGGCTAAATTCTGGAACCATAAACACGAACATCTTTCCTTTGTTTTTATGGCTTTAATCCACTTTGGAGTGATTTTTTTCCACTTGGCTGGACCTGTACTTCTCCTGTGTTAATGTTGGTACATGTAATATGCTAATTCTGTACTGTGGAGATCATTAGGAGTCGTTGTTGGGTGAAAAAATCTTTCGCTAACACTGTGTTGACCGTAAACCAGAAGTGGTCGGAGTGGCCCCAAGTGCTGGACCGGATGTCCGTGGTATATAGGCTATTCTAGTTTCCCTTCTTTCCCTTTTCCCTTCCCTTCCCTCTGTCTGGGATTTCTCCCACAGACAAGGATTTCTTCGGGAGCATTTCGTCCGGGCCAATCAGAGAACAGAATGTCAATTTTCTGCGCAGTGTCTGCTTGTAGTTTATTTTACCTGGGCCAATCAACAAACAAAAGGCTGAGTTTTGAACAATGTTGATTTTCTGCGCAGTGTCTGCTAGTTAGTTTAGCAAGTGAATGAAGCCAGTCCGTATTGATAAGGCTTCCAAATCAAAATAAATTTGTCTGACAAAGCAGCAGCTCTCATTTACTATCGTCTCGTTCGGCTCGGTACTTCTCTCCTCTCAGTAGGGTTGTTTACAGCGCACAAAATTTCCAGTTAGCTTCTTAGCTTAGCCTCCTTCACAGCGACATAGGTTGCAGCCAACCGATCCAATCATTTTAAACTTCAGCAGAGGCCACGCCTCCAACAAGAATCACTTTCTTTAGCCGAGGTTCCAGACCCTCGTACGAAGCAAAGTGAAGGACAAGGGTCTGGTTTTTACCAGGCTAACGTGTTTCTAGTGCTGTTGAAAAAGCAACGATTTTCAAAATATATTTTCATAAATAAGCATTAATTTTCTAACTAATAATCTTCCTAAATGCTAGTTAAACTCATAAATCTCACCAGCTGCCAGCTTTTAGCTGGTAAGTGTCAGAAATGTAAGGAAGAACTGAAACATGAACGCTACAGTTCTCTCTAGGGATGTCCCGATCAGATACTTGGTAACGGTGGCAGATTTGGTCATTTTTTTGAAAATCGTCTAGAATCGGATTTAGTCATGTGATCGGGCCGATCCGGTTTTCGCAACAGTTTTCAGGATCGTCATGCTTTACCACTGCTATTAAAAAGTTAAGACGCACACAAGTGTGCAACCATGTCCAGAGTGTGGGAACACTTTTCAATGGAAAACAATGCTGAAATTGTATCTTGCAAAACCTGCAAACTGGATGTTTCCCATGGTGGGAACAGCAGGGCTCGCTTTAATACTACCAACCTTGTCACTTTGGAAAGAAATAAAGAAATAAATTTTTCGGATCGTATCGGAAAGACTGATATTAAAAAAAATCGGATTGTATCGGGAGCCAAAACATCTGGATCGGGACATCCCTAGTCCTCTCACACATGGATTATTTAAAAAAAAGAGTAAACACTGAAACCAGTTTTTTAAATTAAGGTAACGGTGAAAGAGCAGAAAACCTTTTCTGGAGACTCTGTTTTTAGTTTGTTTTTTAAAGGGATCCCTGATTAGTTGTAACATTAGGCTTTATTTGATAAACATATATTTTAACTGTAAAATAAAGACTGTAAAAATACTGTAGGCTGTTTAGTTTTGTAAATTTTTTAAAATATATTTTAACACGGACGGAGCCATTTTATTTACACACAAAGCATTCTGGGTAAATGATGACGTGGATAGGTCCTCGGTGCGAGGCTGCTAGCGAACTATATCCACCCTGAAGGTTAATCTTGGACAATATCTGATGATCGACTCTTTTAAATGAAACCAGAGAGCGTTGACAGAGAGGAGAAGGTAGAAATGACTCAGCCTGGAACTGAAAATATGGATGGAGGACAACAGAGCTGCTTCATGGAAGAAGAATCTCAGCTTAGCCTGTTAGCTTTAGTGCAGACACTAAAGTCTTATATGTATTAGCTCGGTGCTAGCGTGACAAACAAGCTAAACTGAGGTCCTCCATCCATATCTTCAGTTGCAGCCTGAGTCATTTTTGTGATCCCCTCTCTGTCATGTGGATGGAGGACCTCAATGACGAGAGGAGAATGTGTAGCGCTGAGCTAGTACATATATATGGTGATAGCATCGGGGCTAATGCTAAAGCTAACAGGCTAAGCTGAGGTTCTTCTTCCATGAAGCAGCTCTGTTGTCCTCCATCCATATTTTCAGTTCCAGGCTGAGTCATTTCTACCTTCTCCTCTCTGTCAACGCTCTCTGGTTTCATTTAAAAGAGTCGATCATCAGATATTGTCCAAGATTAACCTTCAGGGTGGATATAGCTCGCTAGCAGCCTCGCACCGAGGACCTATCCATGTCATCATTTACCCAGAATGCTTTGCGTGTAAACAAAATGGCCCCGTCCGTGTAATATATTTTTAAAGTTTTAGTTTAAAAATGATAAAAAACTAAATATCCTACAGTATTTTTACAGTCTTTATTTTACATTTAAAATATATGTTTATAAAATAAAGTCTAATGTTACAACTAATCATGGATCCCTTTAATGTTTACAGCTGATCTGTGTAGTAAAATCCATGAAACTCCTGAATTACAGCTTTTACTGAAACTCTGAGATCTACAAAAAAAAAAAGAAAACAAGAAGAAGAATGCAGTTTTTGGGTTTTAGATGAACAAAGTCCAGTTTTAGGATCAGAAGTCTGGGACTTCAGAGATCATGAAGTGTTCTCAGGAACATCTCCAGATGTTCTCCTGCTGGCGTCAGAACGATCAGACTGAAAATCTGACTGAGCAGGAAGAGGAGCAGTGTGTGTTTGAATGAAAACAACTTTAAAGAAACACTCTGCTGTCCGTTAGCAGCCTGGCTTCCTGCCAGTCGACGAGGCGTTCACTGACCCGGCAGGAAGGAGAGGGGCGGGGTGTTTATGGGGCTGATAAGCGATCCGGTGAACCAGTCAGAGCTCAGAGTTTATATTTAAACACCTGGACCCCTCGGGGCTGACCGTTAGAGTCAACACTTCAGAAAACTCACATCCAGACACCAGAAACCAGCAGAGTCTGAAGAGCCGGGCTCAGAAAGTCTGTTTAGATCAGAGTTTCTGTCACGTTCAGGTGTCTGATCAGCTCCAGAGACTAAAAACCTTCAGTTAACTTGTTGTTTCAAGCTTCAACCGTCCACTTTGTTTTACTGTTTTATTTTAAAAATCAGCTAAAACCTTAAAACCTGCAGTGACTCACCAAACCAGCGGCGCAGAAACACCCGTCTGAGCCGCCGCTCGTCCACTCTGCTCCTGAAGGAGATCCTCACCTCCTCCTCTGAACACGAGCACCTGACCACAGCAACACCTCCTCCTGCCAGGCTGTGCCTCCTCTGGTACCCCATCAACTCCCCCAAAACGTCTCGTTCAAAGGCTTCAAAGACAAGAGTCCCTGTTCTCCTGCGGCTTCACAGACACCTGAACACACCACATGTTCAGAGATTCAGCCGCAGAGATGAAGGTTCAGATCAGACTGAGGAAGAGGAGGAGGGGTCAGGACAGGAGGGAGAGGAGGGAAAGAGGAAGTGGTCCTGGTTAAAGAATAAACCAGAGGAGCTCGGATTTAAAGGAGCTTCAGATGGAGCTGCAGAAACATCATCAGAGGAGGAGGAGCTTCCTCAGAGACTTCATAGACTTGAAGTGGAGCTGTTTGTTTGTTTGTGTGTTTGTATATATGTTTATAAGTTTGTTTGTTTGTAAGTTTGTCTGTAAGTTTGTTTGTAAGTTTGTATGCATGTATGTATGCTTGTTTAAAAGTTTGTTTGTGTTTGTTTGTTTGTATAAATGTTTATAAGTTTTGTATGTTTGTAAGTTTGTTTGTTTGTATGTATATATATTTGTTTAAAAGTTTGTTTGTGTTTGTTTGTTTGTATAAATGTTTATAAGTTTTGTATGTTTGTAAGTTTGTTTGTTTGTATGTATATATATTT